AAAACAAGAGCAGTGTATACATTGCATTGCCATCAAATCTCTTGATCAACATAGCTGGAAACAGTATTGCCCTGTTCAAAGATGAAGGCCAACCCTGCCACTGAGAATGTATGTCACTCTCTACAGTCCTTGCAATAATCCAATCTCCTGAATCAGGTTCCTGAAAGAGCATGCTACACACCTCTTCCAAGTCTCCCATTCCAGGGCTTTGGCCTATAATTTTTCCCATGCTGGTTGTTATTCTACTTCACCCAAATTATAAAAATTCAGGACTGTTCAGATTTTGCTTCAATGGTCATGACAAAACTGGTTCAAAGTCCTACTTTAAAATGTGCTATTAAAATGTATACCCTATTTTTCTTAGGTGGACTTGTATTTTATTCAATCTTTTAAGTATACAAATATAAAGGTGAAGATTATATAATAAATAAATTATAGCCTATCAGAGATCATAAACTCTGCAAGTTAATGGTGCATCTGAAATAAAATAGGAAACTAAGTAGAATCCATACAGAATTCAATGGTTATCACTTTTCATCTATGGTTCCCAATTTTATTCATCAAATATTATTTACTCTACCTAAACTAACCATTTGTGGTTAATGACCAAGCTAAACCAAAATGCAAAGTTTAAAATCTATGTAGGTCTAATCTTTATTCATACCCTTGTGCTTTCTAAATACCAATCTCTGTGACCACATCAGTTATTCCATTTTTAAAAAAATATAGTGAACATATCACAATAAAATATAATTTTCTATTAGCATCAAGACTTTTATCATGTACAAATTAATCACTAAACCTGAGAAGAGTTGAACACTGTACACAATGCTAATCAGGATATATTTATGAAAATAAATTCATGAGTTGTTTCAAATAGAATATATTTGAAAGATAATTCTGGAAGAAATAGGTATTTACTAGAATAGGCTGATTTCTTCCACAGCAAATAATAACTCTTGGGCCTACTCTAAAAATAGATAATTGAAGTGACCTATGAAAATGTATTTTTAAGAGAGAAAAATAGTCAGTATGAGAGGTTGTGAAACTGAGTTCTAAAAACACATTCAAATAAGTATCTGAATAAAAAGAAAATTAAAACCTGGCATAAAACTTTATTTTTTAGATATTTTGTCCTTTTAGCACTTAATTTAACTATGAAAACCATAATCTCTTATTAAAGATCTCATTCTCAAAACTGTGATAAAAACAAAACATAGAAATGGATCTGGGTTTATGGGAGAATATTAATTTTGTTTACTTCCAGAACTGAAGATTTGCAAAACTGAACCAGAAGTTATCTAGAAATCTGGGAGACAGAGGTTGGTTCTTTTCCATACAACCTCATATTTGGAAAATTCAGAGCTATGGGATGAGACAAAGTCTCATTCTAGGCTATCATCCCTCATGCAAGTGAACATCTTGCCTGTTGTTACCTATAGAAACCAATTTTGGTTCAAGTGGACTGAAAAGTATTCAAATTAAACACAACCACTGTTTTCATGGAGGTGGCAGAGTGTAGTGATAAAGACCACATGGCAATGGAGTATCAGAAAGACGGGCTGTTCATCATCACCTGCTCTCTCAGTATCACCTGTGTGACCTCACCTGGGTGCTAAACCTCTAAAGCTTAAGGCTGCTGTACACAGAACCAAACAAAAATAAATCTATTTCACAGGCATGTTGAGAGTACTAAAGAAGAAATACATACACAACAATTCATACAAAGTTTCTAGTCCATTGGATCTTTGGACAAGTAGCAAGTATTGTTAACAAAAAATAGTTCCAAAGGATATGTCATCTCTCAGTAGTTGTTTTAGCAAACAGGCTTCGTGATATCAGGTTATAATGTTGTTAGGTGCCATCAAGTTGGCCACGAACTCATGGCTATCCTGCACAAAAGGATTATTAGATCCTTATGATCCACTGGGCTTCCACAGGCTGATTTTTAGAACTAGATCACCAGTCCTTTCTTCCTAGTATGTCTTACTGGGAAAGCTCTGCAAAAACTGCTCACTATCAGAGCAACATGCAAGCCTCCAGTGACAGATGGAGGCTGTGCATAAGTGCAGTGTCTTGGAATTGAACCTGGGTCTCCCACCACAGGAAAGGTGAGACTTCTACCTCTGAACCACCACTGCTATCTGAGGTTATGATGTTGTTGTTACGTGCCGTGGAGTTGGCTCCAACTCATCGTAACACTATGCATACAGAACAAAACATTGGCCGGTCCAGCGCCATCCTCACAATTCTTGCTATGGTTGAGCCCATTGTTGCAGCCACTGTGTCCCAATACTGTGTTATAATAACATTGTATAAAACAACATTATCCTTAAGGGAGAAAGCTAAGTTAAGAGTAAACTTATCACAGACGATGGTTCAGCTGTACAAAAGATGACTCAATAGGTAAGGGTGATGACAAAACTGAGATCAATGCCAAAGGCAGCAGGGCCAGCCCAACCTCTTTGCGGAGAGTTTGGCATTGAGACAGACGACTAATGGTTTATACCTTTTCTGTCTTAAAATGACCAAGAATAGAAAGAAGGGCTGCTTATGTACAGGGAGACAGCTCAGGGGGCAGGAGTTCATGGAGGGGTGGCCACAGGGAAGAGGTAACTATGGGGAGGAAATGGGAGGGGAGCTGTTGCATTGTGGTAAACTGTGGTCAATGTCATGAGACAAAGTATATGTGAAC